AACACTTTTAAACACTTGCGCTATTCTGATAAGCTCTTAACACTTTGTTCTTCAGGTACAGCGAATAGTAAAATACATTCACATCTAGCAAAAAAATACGAACTTTTAATCCTTTATCTAATGTATCGTAATCATGAGAATTATATGTTATGGTTCGTGTGTGTATGCGTATGTGTGCACATATGAACACATTCATGTGTTCTTTGTGTATAGCATATGTGAAGAGAACAAGCGAATGAAAATATTCAAGATGGTTTTAACTGAAAAAGGTGGAAATAATTATGATAATGATAACCGTCGCATGCACATATAGCATATTCAACCCCAAAAAGGAAAGCCATGTTTCAGCTCAGATTATTTCATTTAGATTTTTTGTCGCAGCTTATCTTTCTTACAGTTTGTGTTAGAATTATATAGCGTTTCTGTTTCGTTCTCCTGCATCTTCATTTCATGTTCTGCTTATTTATCACTGTATTTGCTTGTAGCAAGGAAGACATATAATCAAGTAGAAAACAGTTCATAACCGTAGTGAAATTTCCATTTTATGTTCTTATTGCCCATAGATATATTTTTGAAAGATGTTAGTTATCTGTTGTTCATAACTTTTTCACGACAAAGGAAACTTTCACTTTTTTCGTATTGATGTTTAACTTATCGACGACATAAAATACTGTAGTACACAAACAGATAACAAATAAACATACAAAGAAGCTCCTAGCAATCTATCAGAAATATATATCTTTTAAACTCCACCTTACATATGCTATAAGCGTGATGTGACACACTGTTCTTGACCATGTATACGGGACTGCAGTTCAGAGATCGGCTCGTCAAGTGAAAAGCGATGAAGCCAGAGTGAAAAATCTACGTTATCATAATATAGAGATTTTTATTTCCACTACCAAGCGAAGCGCAGTAAATAAAATAGTTTCATTTAGATCTATCTCTTGAGAGAGAGGAAAAGAACAATTTTTATTTCTGTAGAGTAAGCTGCGCTGTGGGTCGACTTTGCAGCTTGTAGTCTGCCGTATGCTAACTTGTATTTAAAGGTGAGCCGACCCCTTAAGCTGTATTAAGGGGAAATACACTCAAGGGCAAGGCAAATGGTGGTGTTAAGGGAGGGACGAAGAGGCTGACATAGGAAGAAGGATATCAATAGGAAAGGAGAGAAAAACAAACAATAACAACCTATACATCTCTTCACAACATTTTACAGTGTACTGGAAAACCCTTATTTTTGATTTACACCTGTCGCAAGTGTGCCTCTATATGGTAACGTACATACATAAATATATACCACCTGGCACAATGTAATTTCAACCTGATATGAGCGTATCATATTGAAATTGCATGTCAATACCATTCTCCATTTTTCTTTGTAATACTCTGGTGGTTTTATTTCACAGAATACCAGACACATTTAATGTACGACCTTGTGTTGGAAAGTAACATAATACAACAATGGAATGTATTGAAAGTTTTTTTCGTTTTAGAGTTTGCTGTGATACTGACATGAATTGTCGATCTTTTTATGTATTAGCTTTGTTGTCTTGGTGTCAGTGCGACTACAGATATTTCTGTTTTATTTATATCGAAATATTTGGTTTATTTTTCTATTGTGTTTTTTGTAAATCGCTTTATATTTTAGTGATCCAAGTGTTCTCGGGCGAAATGTCCAGTTCCTATCATATAAGGATACAACTGTAATTAAAATACGGAAAGCTACAACAAAATCTTAAAATAAAAGAATAAAATGGTTTGGCTCTAAAATGAGACCATGAAATAAAAGCTCCCTTTGCATAAAAAGATCTCTTTCCGTGCCTGAATTCTTCAGTACTTTTTCATTTTCTTTTTCTCTCATTTTCTGACGTACACCACCAACACATTTCTCAGCAGACGCTTTGGGACACTTTTATACACGTTTACACAATATATTTTTTACGTTTTTACACAGGTTTACGGGGATTTTGGTTCAATCTACTTCCACGAATTTGGTCACTGATAGAGCACAACCATGAGATTGGGATCACGTCTCTCACTAAGGGAGACAACGCCGAGTCCTGCCCGCGTCAGCAGAGTCCTCCGCTCTTGACGAAGGTCTCGCCAACCGAGTCCTTTTCTCCAGATAAAAAAGTCCCTTACCGGAATCCTTCTCAGCCTGAACGAGGTCCTGCAAGCTTTACAAGACATATCCTGCATCTCTCCGTGTCTCCGACCGCTTCGAAGACCCTCGGAGTCCGTCCCTCGCTCTCTCTTACCCGAAGGATCCTCAGCTGGCGGTGTTGACGAGCCGCCCCCTTCCTCTTCCTTCGAGCTGGAGACTCTCCCGGAAACGCTCCGCGTCGGCCGTCGTGTGGCTCTCGGAACACCTCACGGAGTCCTCGCTGGTCGACCTCGAGGGCGGTGACCTGCGCGTCTTCGTGCTACCGCGACGATGGTCAGTCGAGGTCAGGTCAAACATGGACTGGGAGGTAGTGATCGCGGCCCCATTGGTTGGCGC